TTGTGCATTACGAGCATTCTTCTTCGGATACAACCTTGGAACAGTAAGAAATTGAAAAAAGTGTAGAATTTGCAGACACGAGGTTTCTCCATTGCGGCGTGACACGTTCAAGCGAGCGAAATAAATGATGAATATTTGTTATCAATGTTACATTTGTTTACGCGCCAGCATGTACGCGATGCAATCGGAAGATGGCACAAAACAGTTCCTCCCATGTTCTTTTAATCGATAACACGTACCGACCGTCGGTATACGTCGGGGGTTTGTTCTACATTATCGATCGTATCTTCTTAAAACATACGCTATGAGCCATCAAAGCGAATCGTTTTGAAATCTATTCTTATTACTTTTGATAATGTCATTTATTTTTATATTTAATAATTATCATATTTTACATTTACCAAAGATCTTTTTAAATTTACCAAAGAATTTGAGACAAATTAAAGGAACATAGAAAATGGACTGTATAAAATGAAACTCGAATTTATCGATCTATAACCATCAATAATTGTCCGCGCCAAGATATAGAAATCTTCGGGTCCGTACTTTCTTCACTTTGGATTCATTTATGAAAGAGAGAAAACATACAGATGAAATAGTTACTTGCATCGGTTGTGCTGTCATGTAGTTCCTAAATCGCCCTAGCCTCGCCTTGAGCGCACGATAATTTAATAACGAAGAGACGTTATAGTTTTAATCGTATGGTATAGTAAAGATCGCGCGTTGCTTTCAATGTCTTTACATTTTCATGGGAAACGATTAGGTTGTGTTTGGATTATAATATTATTATAATGTAATATTGTATAATTATTATAATGTTGTTACGAGTACGCGCGCATTTTTTACTTTTTAAATAAATATTTCAACGAATTTCAATTTTTTCTAATTAACGAAACTTTTTTTCCAATGACGATGTACCGAATGGAGAATCAGTTTTTATAAATCGTATACGAGCGTCTTTGCTGTACTAACGGGAATCTATCGTACTCTTCGATGTGAGGGAGATTGACTAAGAGATGGGCATAGCTTAACAACGTTTACCAGAAATTTTAAAAAAGGATAGGAAAGGAAGTTAAAGAAAATTGGAGAGAAAGAGAGAGTTTGTGTGTGTTAGTGCGCGCGTGTGTGAAATGAAGAGAGAGAGAGAGAGAGGGGGGGAATTGGTGGGTGGGTGGGGAGGGGGGAGAGAGAGCGAACGAAAAAGGTGGAAAAGAGAGAATCGGTCGACGAAAGGAAAAAGAAAAAACCGAAGAAATGAAAACATACGTCGCAATATATAACATAATGATATATTTATACTAATTACAATTGTACCATAACAACTATAATACTACTTATTATATTATACAGAGCCGCCGCCACCCAGTATATTTTTTACAGGTTTACATTATATTACAGTTTATAAAGTTTGATATACAATAACGATTATCTAAGCGATCACAGCGAACGTAGGGAATGTGCGTCGTCCCATCAACGAGTCATTAATGAACGAAGAAGAGACGACAAGCGTCGCGACGTTGTGTTATGCTATATACTACATACAATAAAGACGAGCGTTCGAGGTTCGATGTATGCGCGTGCGTTTTATTAACATTATCCTCGCACTTTTGAACTTGCGAGCTCGAGAGAAAGAGAAGAACATTGTAGTAAAAAATGCCGTCGTCCAATTCGTCTTTCTCATCTGCAAAATTTAAAGTCGTCAGCATAGAAAGGAAGAGAGAGCGAGAGCGAGAGCGAGAGCGAGAGCGAGAGAGAGAGAGAGAGAGCGCGAGAGAATGAGAGAGAGAGAGAGAGAGAGAGAGAGAGAGAGAGAAGAGAAAAAGAGGAGGAAAAGGAAAAGGCACTTACCTCGAGCATCGAACGTTCGCATTCCGATGACGAATAAATAAACTTGCTACATAACTTGTGATACGTTTACCGCTGGTTACTACAGAGACTTCCTAGTCGATGTCTACGACAGACATCGGCGCCACTAGTTCACTCACGCACACGATTCAAACGTTTATACGGATTTATTACGGATTTATTAATTAATCGAATTATTACGTACGTAATTAAATTAGACAAGAGTATTTACGAGGAGATTAAAGAAGAAACAAATGCAGTACTTATCTTAGAAGAGTGTGAATGCGCAATCACGAGGCTAGGACGAGGCTAGCTACCTTTGTACCCCCCATGTTCGCTCTTTGAACTGACATACGCTCTCGTACGAGGCATCGGAACGTTAACGCATAAGATGACCCAATCGTATTTGCCTGCCCTGATATGGAGAATTACTATATTAACCCAAATAAAAACTGTACATACAATTGCAACTAATGATGTTTATTATTTCCTGAACCTTCTTATTGTGTGCCTTGATGCATCTTTCTCACGACTGAAAGGATTGCCGCCAGTTTCGAAGGGGCCGCCATCGAAACTCGCGATAAAAGCCAATGCTTTGATCGATGTATCGAAATACGTGTATATACGTCTAGCAATATACGTATATCGTATATCGATATTATATATAGTTAGCCGGCCGGTTTCACTCTGGTTAGAGTGACCGATCGATTATTTAGATTTAATAGTCAAGGAATAGACGAGAAAATTATCCGAAAAATGAGACAATTTTTGAGAATTGAAGTGATAATATCGAAATCGATAGCAACGCAAATATATTCTTTGTTCTCATCCCTAAAATCGTACTCGCAGAGAGATCTTGGGAAAGCGGTAAACGATCGTAGCCTATACGTAGCCGCGGGCAACCAGCTGTCACACGGATTGATGAGCAGTCGAAGCAGTTCCGAAGCAATTATTGTTATTCTGATTACATAATAAGCAGAAAGGTAAGGAGAAGAAGATGGACGATGCAAGGGATAGAGCTAGAACGGTAAAGAGAGAGAGAGAGGGAGAGAGGGGGAGAGGGAGAGACGAAAAGCGTGCAAACAAAAAAGAAGGAGCGATTTGGAAGAAGAAGCGAGGAAAGAAAGGGAAGAGAGAGAGAGAGAGAGAGAGAGAGAGAGAGAGAGAGAGAGAGAGTGAGTGAGGAGGAGGGAGGAGGGAAAGATTGGGGCGAGGAGGGAGCGAAAGGGGAAAGGAGTGAGACGGGGAAACGAAGAAGAGCGACAACATAGAAGGAGGTTGAGGAACGCCGAATTCGAAGGAGTGGAAGCATAATTCCAAAGGGGTTCGAGCGGAAGGCCAGTTCCGCGAACTCGCGTAATCGATTCCGTCATGTCGCGGACCACCCGGGTACGGTCCTAATAAATAAGTAATATGCCGGTTCAACCAAAAGATCAGAATTCCAGGAGGGGGGAGAAGAGAAGCAACGACGAAGATTCATCGTGTACGTTCGTAGCTACGTATCTATGTATCGGTTTTATTATTTTTAACTTGCTGACATATCTACAAAAAGTCTTTTCACCAAAAATGTGATAGGTAAAGTATCGAAAATAGGTACATAATATTCGGTCGCGATATTAAATTTACGAATTCTCGATGAATTTTCTTGCTTTCGCAGGGCACCGACATCGCGCCTAACGAGGAAGAAGATGAAAGCTCGCGACGATTTACTTGGAGTAAGTACGTGTACGCGCTCGATCTACACGCTTCGAAGAAGATCTCAAGTTGCCGGCGCGACATCGGAGTAGCCAAGAGGGACAGCTCGCTTTCGTGGACGGCTGAAAATTTCTTGCTCTCGGTTATACGGTGACACTTGGACCGCGTAACACTTGGAAGGTGTCGCTCTCGAAGAAGGCAGGGTCAGTATCGCAAGGTGGCAAAGAGGTAAAACGGAGTAGGTCTTCGCGTGACGTGAACTAAAGAGGGAGAGAGAAAGACGAGGCTATTCGAGAGAGAGAGAGAGAGAGAGAGAGAGAGAGAGAGGTGTAAACTCGATACCCGATGGATCATCGGAGCCGACATTCGAGGCGCCGACGTTCAACCGAGGGAAGAAACAAACGCTCTTTCTGCAGTCATCCGTTCCGAAAACATGCGGTTTCCCTACCCTATGTTCCTATTTTATATCTTTGCACCTTCGACAACAAGGCGACCAAACAAAGAAGAAAAACGTTCTTTATCATCCGCCCGTAGTTTCGAATCGAAAACCGTAATAATATTTCTATTTGGTTTCTCATATATTATCGTCTCAATAAAGAAGATGTAGAAGAATACGGATAAGAGAATCGGAGAAGTAAAATCGCGCGCGCGCGCGATGCGCACACATCGAAGCCGCGTCTCGGGTGTGCGCAGACGGATGGACGCGTAGCGAGATTCGCTTCGGGAGTATGGTTTTACCGATGGTGTATCCTGCACACGTGGAGCATATAGTCGGAGGTTCCCACACTGCAGGCCATGATTTATTGGCCTGCCACCCGCCAGACCTGCTGTCATCATCGTCCCATCGTTGGTCCATGATACAACGCGCCTTACCGTATACTAACTTCCCTTTCTACGCGATCTTCGCGCCATATCGGCTTCTTCTTTCCTCGCGCCGCATGAAACAGGAAGGCCGTTTGACGTCCGTGGTGACGTCCATCCGCCTTGCTTTACCTTATGCAGCGGACGTTACTGACTACCTTACGTGCCAATAATTAGCTTTTTTCTATCTCGAAAGAGCTATCGCGTAGCATATACAGTATACGCGTGTGTGCTACCGTTGTACCGAGAATCGCGATACTTTTAACATTTTCCACAAGTATTTCATTAAATATTAACCTTGAATTTATATTAAAGGATCGCCTATCGAATATATCGAGATATATTCGATTTGCATGACGAAAGAAATAATATTCAGTGCAACGTCAGAGGATGTCAAAGATGATAACGACAGCATTGTTTTGTTAAAAGTATCGTAAAAGAAGGACTTTAATATACGAAAGGTAAAAAAGGTCATGAAGCTTGTTGCAAAGGTCAGTTGGGGGAGGAAAAAACGAAGGAAGAAAGCATAAGGGCGGGATGGGAGAAGGGAGTCGAATGAGGGACGTACTGGTGGTGGCGGTAAAGAGTGGGGAGAGGAGGATGAGGGTTTCTTCTAGAAGATGGGGCGAACATGAAGTCGTCGGCTGTATAGGAAACGAAGAGGGGTTATTTCGTTTCGTCTCGGCGTGCTTTCCTAAGCGGCAGCTCCAGTGGCAGCTCTGCTGGCAGCCTGCTGTCGTCTCTGCCGTCTACCGCTCGACACACAGTCGAACTCGTTCGCCACTGGACGACGGATGTCGTCGTCGTCGTCCTCGTCGTCGTCGTCGTCGCCGCCGCCGCCGTCGTCGTCGCCGTCGTCGTCGTCGTCGTCGTCGTCGTCGTCGTCGTCGTCGTCGTCGTCGTCGTCGTCGTCGTCGTCGTCGTCGTCGTCGTCGTCGTCGTCGTCGTCGCCGTCGTCGTCGTCCGTCGTCGTCGTCGTCGTCGTCGTCGTCGTCGACGCCGACGCTATTCTCCCTTTGACTCCCCATCCTCTTCTCCTATCTTCGCTATTCCTACTTCTCCCCGATCTTCCTCCTTCCTTTTATAAAATCCTTTGACACCGTCCTGTTCTCAATAGTCACGATGTCGTCTTACCGTCCGCGACTCCTCTTTCTTCTCTTAGTCGCGTCGCTTTGTGCGTCTTATTGCACCGGATGCGCCTTTTGCGAGAAATTCTTTCAACCACAGCAGCAGCAGCAGCAGCAGCAACAGCAGCACCAGCAGCAGCAGCAGCAGCAGCAGCAACAGCAGCAGGAGCAGGAACAAGAGGAACAGTTCTACCAGACTCGCAGAACAGTAGGCAGTCCGAGACCCTTTGGCGCCGAGAGACCGACGCGCGCGCAAGAATTCAACAGGACCGGTGTGTTGCACCCCGAGTACCAGATACCTGCTACCCTTCGACCGGGCAATGTGTCGCAGTGAGCATTTCACATTTTATACATACAATGTTAGATTAGAAATAAGGCCCATTTTCGAATACGAATATTTTGATTTAGCTTCGGTGATCGAATTCATTTTCCTTATTATATTGTCTTGCCTTTGTTTTTCTTGCGAAACAAAGAGAGGAGGAAGCAAGGAGAACGATAGAACGGATAGCGGTTATTTTTCCCCCGTGGGGAACGAAAAAGCGAAAAAATTAATATTCGTTATAATCGAACTTTCTGCATTTACGTAGCACGTTGGCACGCGCATAAACTTTCCAACGTTTACTCGTTCGTCTCAGTTATTTTATCATATATTTCACATACAATAACAGAATTACCATAAATACATATAATATAATTCGTTGTTCGTTTCATTATTGCCAACATAAAGTATCTATCTTTGTTTATTCTCTTTAACATACGCGAGGGTTGCATTTAATTCAACTAATGGACTTTTAACCGCGAACGGAAATAAGCCTTGCTCGATATCAGGTGGTTTTGGAATATGATCGCACGTATCTTAGGGAAATAAATCCAATCCTTTCCACGTTCTTCGTGGTAATATTATTCTTTGCACATGTTACTCGATCAGAGAGATCACGAGAGAGAGGAGAGAGAGGACGGATCTTGGAGTGTAATTATTTGTTCACGCGTAAACGAAAGCACGTAAAAAGGAAGGATCGATTTAGCAATCAGATTCTTAAGAGGGTGTGTCTGTTTAAACGACAGCGGTTAGTCTCTTCTCTCGGGTAGAGGCTCTATTCGAGAAGAGCAAATTGTCGCGATCCGTGAAGGGAGAAGTAGTTATGTTCGCGTCGCGACGATACGCACCATAAAAGTTCTACTATCGGATGGTTTCCACGAAAAGCGGCTACGACGGCACTGCCGCGCTGGTATATATCTAAGGATTTTTTTCAAGACTTCTTGGCAAAACGTAAACCTACGTACGAAATAAATTTTTCGAAGAAAGCAATAATATATATTATGTATATATTATATTTTCCTACAAGGGAAGTAAAATTTCGAAGGGATTGCAAATTATATCGATTCGATCTCTCTCGTTGATCTGTTGATCAGACATGGATAGGAAAGACGTGAGACGTTCGCGGTCCTTGAACGAAGTCGAATGACAGAATCAATTGGAAGGTCCCGCGGGTACGCGACGCGGCTACGGTGGCCGAATTTAGATCACGGGGGTCGTGGCTGCCGCGACCCCAGACGCCGCGACGCCGGCATTGTGTCCCGACGCTAATTTTACAATAGCCGTCTCACTGGCAACGGCAGAGGCAACTCCGCTTAGCAAGCGAGGGGAATGCGTGGAATAGGCGGGGGAGGGGGCAGGGAGGGAGGGGGCAGAGAGAGAGAGAGAGAGAGAGAGAGAGAGAGAGCTTGCGAGCGCGTGCGAGCGCGTGCGAGCACGTGCGGTGGCGACAACGTCCCGACGCCCATCCGACGCGCGTGCAGGCCGGAGGATGGAAAGGGTGAAAGAGAAGGCTGGCATCGTCGAGCCGTAAACTTAACCGATGTGATCCGAGCGTGCCGTTGCCGTTGCCGTTGCCGTTGCCGGTGCCGGTGTCGGTGCCGGTGCCGTTGCCGTTGACCGTACGAACTACGTGATCAAACGAACTGACTAAATATAGCAACATTCGCGTTTTACCTATTTTATATACGTTACGTGCTTCGCAGTATCGACCGCAGCTGAACGCACGTGTGTCTATCCTTTTTTTTTCTACGATCCTTCTCATTTTCCTTCGATACCTACATGTTCAATACTAACTTCTACCTGGAACAAGATTAGTTTATACTGTATCTAGATAATATTATTGTAGGTTTTATTATTTGAACCCGCGAGAAGGTCCACCTCTCACCTTGCTCGTCAGTCCTTGCAGCGGTCCGATATCATGGACGGTCAGTTACGTGGAGCCACCTGAAAATGATCGAGAACTGGAAGGAGCAAAATGTGAGTTCGAATTAGTTAAAAGTATAGTCATTCATAATTTTTTTCCTTCATTTACACGCGTCACTACATTGACAAGTAGATCAGTCTCGATGGCCGGTGAAGACACTAAAACCAGGATCGCCTTTGTTTACGTACGAAGGAGCAGAGGATCAGAACTTTACGATAGCGCGAACGCGCGCTGGTTTATATTGGTTCGAAATCAAATCATTGCGGGGTAAGAAAATCGAAAAATCAGATCCGAGCACCGTACTCTTGTACGCAACGTCCAACGCCTTGAATCATCTGTCAGGATTTTATGGGAATGAAAAGGAGAATCGTCAGCGTTCCTTAAGATTTCAACAGAGAAGAAGCAAACGTCGGCTAACCATATCTTGGAACAAAAGGTAAGAGAACTTCGATAGACTTAACCCCAAAGAGAGAATCGTTAGAGATGGACAAACGACCGTAGGATCGTTTACCTTTACTTTAGAGCATTGAGTTTAGTCTTTATTTCCTCGTAGCCACGTAGATCCGCACCTATCCAACTATTGTTTGGCCGTTACGTCGGGAACTCAAGCACATCCTTCGACGCTTTGCGCCGCGCAAAACTTTCTCATCGTTCATTCGTATACCGGCAAGGGAAGTTCCTCGAGCAACAGAGAGCATCAATATCGGGGTGTCCCGGAAGGGGTTCATTGCGTACGACAGACCAAGTTGACCCTTCACAGAATGAAGTTCGACACTACGTACAACTTTACTCTATATGTGGTTGGTTCGGGGAAAGCGACGATAATAGCGAAGATAACTAGTTGATACTTACGATATTATTATTACTTTTTTTCGTTTGCAGGTTAATATGCGTAACAACGTTTCGAATAAACTTGCCACCGATGCCATACGATTTCGGAAAACGCCGGAGTTGATGTTACATACGGGACGTTACGCCACGGTGAGTTTGAGAAAAACCGATGGTTTCGTCAATTTCCGTTATCGCCCAGCGGAAAACGCATCGAGTATCTTCCACATTCTTCCTTGCGGCGGTGGAATAGTCAAGGCCAAACTAAGTGCTCCAGGAATACTGCGGGTAATCCATCCGAATATGTATCGATGCATCTTTTTCTCTCTTTCCTTCTGGGTAATGCGTCTCTCTCTCTCTCTCTCTCTCTCTCTCTCTCTCTCTCTCTCTCTCTCTCCCCCTCTCTATGTGCGTTCGATTTTACAATTTATAGGAAATTTATAGGAAAAAGAAGTGGTGGGATATGCGTCTCTGCGAGTACCTCTACTGCCCACGGGGAAAGCTTATATTCTACGGATATCGGCTACACCGCAGGAATTAGCAAGAGTCTCGGCAATCAAAGTACTCGTTACGCAGGAGTCTTCGACGATTTATCCGCAGGTAGACGATACGATTTCCCATCCAACATAGATATGTACAAAATTTAATAGTTTACATTATTCTATTAGGTACCGTCGAGAAGCACGCCGCGCGAGTATCGTTCATTGAGAAGTTGCGACGAGGTGACAATAGGTGTAGAGCCTGCCGGTGCCGCGAAATATTGCATTCTCGTGAGAGAATTGAAAGATTCTACGACATTGGCCAGCTTTACTAGCGTACCCGATCAGTGCGGTCTCCATCGTCGTCGTCGATCCGAGTATACGTTCGAGGTCTGCGAAGAAAGAGGGAGCACGCCGAAAGATAGAGCCCTTCCGTTTACCCTCAAGAGATTGCAACCCGGGAAGGCATATCTTTTGCAAATCACGGCCCAGCTCAAAGGTCGATCCTTGTCGTATCCTCTGTTAGGGGTACGCACGAAACGTACCTGTCTGCGTCCATGACAATTTTAATAGTCGTCTACTTGCCGTTTTTGATACTTTTAACGATTACTAAATCATTCTCACATTCACAGCTTTAGGATAACGATTTTGGATTTAATTTGAGGGATTCTATTTGAACGTATCTATGTAAGTTTATCCATAAAATAAAATATAATGTAAAATTCATATTGATTCATATTCCGCCTGATCTCTTTCTCTTTTTTCTTTGCGTTTTCCTTCCAATCTAATATAATATTTTAGTACCCTACGCACGTAGGGACAATTACATTAATACAATAGGATCAAAGATATTCTAATTCGGACTTTATCAGTCGTAATAATTTACCGCCAGGACTTTTCGCTGGCTCTGACATCAACAAAGTCATGGCTTTCGACAAATGTCCTTTCTTGTCTTGTCCAGGACAATCAGCGAGTTCTCGTAAAGTAATTGCCGCGTAGAGTGTCAATCGTTCGCAGTATGGATCTACGACGGCGACGGTATTCATTATAAGATTGCAAAGGTCGAATTTTTGTCGATCGTTCGACGGTAATAATTGTATCAAAGAATGCCCGATAGATATGCAATGTTGATGGCCTGGATGTAGAAGAGCGCGAAGTCTGAAAATATGGATATGATCGTACGAAGTCTGAAAATATGGATATGATCGTACGTCACGTATTACGTGATTGTAGAAGAAGAAAAAGGAGAATTCTTTTGGTTTCTCCGCTGTCTCCTCCTCCTCCTCCTCCTCCTCCTCCTCCTCCTCCTCCTCCTGGTGTTAACCAGGAAGCGAGAAAGAAGCACTCACCGAGAAAGAAGATCGGAAAGCACAGCCTTGTTTGGGGTCCTCATTGCCTCTTCGACTTCTTCCTCGAGCCTGTCCATTAATTGACCGACCTCCGAGGACCGAAGAGTATTTTTACACGTATCGCAGGACCATTCCGTTTCAAAGTCCAACGGATCCCTCGGAAGAATGAAGCCGCCGTCGTTGTAAGGACATCTCAGAGTGCCAAGATGCGTTCCCAGTTCCGTTGGATCGGCGCATCGTTCGCAGGAACAAGAAAAATATTTGGTCGCGAGCAAATGTCGCCTCCTCGCTCTCGTAGACCAAAGTACGTGAGTATAGCACGTACTCAAATGTTCGCCCCTTGAAAAATGATGCAATCGCGGTCGTATAAGGAATCTATATCGGTTCTTTTATTAAATCCCGCCAAGGGTTTACCTACTTTTTAATCGAGGTAACGGCCAGCACGTTTACGATCGGTCTACCATTCTCGTCCAATGCGAAGAAATGCCGAGTGTTTGGTAAGCAACGGTGTTCCAAAAGACATGTCGTGCGATAAATGGCGACGGAACCTTCCGGCGGTAATGTTTCGAGCCCGTTCACGTCGATTAGCCCACAAATTTTAGGCAATATCTTAGCGCAAGAAGGATCGACCGCGATAAGGGCTCTAAGATGATTCGTTATCTCTTCCACCTCCTCGTAAGCATCGGTCCCAGGACCGCGAGAATCCTCGTGACTCTGTAGCTTTTCCAATAATTTCCAACGCTTCGACTTTGTCTTCCAAAGTATCAGCATCCTTATCGCTAGCAAAACGTCGCATCTAGAAAAAGACGACGGGGAAATACGGCGACGGAAAAAGAGGAAACGAAAGAAGAGGAAGATCGATCGACCGATACTAACGGTACTTTAATATACTATCGTATATATAGGTGGTATATAATATACGTTATAGGCGGTTATATACGCGGTTGTATTCTTAACGGATAACGTTACCGGTAGCCACGTCAAAGCCGTTTTTCTTCACCTGGGAAAGATTCTGGTTTTTGCAAGAAGGGCACATTCCAACTCGTGACCGTCCTTAGCCAGGAGAGCCTTGCAGTCCGTAGAACAGGAAGGCCAGAAGCACTTGGCACATCTCGTTTCGACGTCCTCGCAACGTTGACCGCAACCGACGCACACCCTGTAAGACGTATGAGGTGCGGCTCCCCAAACGAGTGGCACTTCCGAAATGATCGGCTCACCGCTCTTTAAATCCCTCCTTGCAATCAAGTATCTTCCCAACTCTTTGCTTTCCTCGATCTCCCAGGCATGGCAGATTGATTTGTGCAACGGCCAATCTTCCCTTTGGTGTTCCTTCCCGCAGTAAAAGCTCCTCTTGCAGCCGCTGCATTTCAGTCGAGCCTGCTTACCGCACACCGGACATTCTCCCATATCCAGATTTTCCCCCATAGGGTTACTCCGAATCGACGAATTGGCGATAATTAAAGGAACGATCTTAAAGGAATCGCATACGCACGCGTACACACGCAATGCAAATGATGGATTTACTCCCAGTTCTATCTGTAACTATATGCGTATCGCCGATATAGGTATCTAATATACCTATCTCTGATATAACTTTCAATTTCTCTTTTCACTTTTTCCCCGGCGAAACGTTTATAGAGAAGCGCGCGTATGAAACCAACATGCTCGGTAAGAAATATCAAACTAGACCCACTGTGAATAGCACCGTCCTATAACGTCACCTCCAACGTTTAATTATAGATATCTACGAGCGCGAACTATTTTAGTTCTAACTACTAAACCGGTATAATATTACCATTTACCTATCGTAGTCGTATCTAATATTCTCGTATAAACGATCCGACGTATCCGAGATGTACTTATTAATATTATAGGTAATATAGGATTTACATCGTTACAAAGCGTCCATCCTTTCTTCCTCAATGGCTTCTCGAATAATTCCAGTTCCGGATTGCAATGGAATAAGATCGGGAGAAGATTCTTGAAAAGTAGTCTTTATTTCAACATTCGACAACGTTATAAAATCTAACTCGCCGATATTGTGAAAATGTTGTTATTAAAATATCATTAAAACCGTTATTGTTGTTGTTGTTGTTGTTGTTGTTGTTGTTGTTGTTAAAATATCGTTATTATAAGAACAAGAAAATCTCACTTCAATTCTCTATGACCTTGCATTGAAATTATTTATAGAAAATTATATATCTATATTTAGTACGTATATACACGTATTTTCATTCGAAAAAAGAAAAAGAAAGAGAAAAAAAAAGGCAGAAAGAAAATATCCATGGTTCGCAGGCTCACCCTGTGAAATTCGAATAATGCATTTTCACGGCTGATAGCTATATACGTACATTATACATAAATATTGCTATATTTCCCACGAACCAATTTTATTTTATAATGTTTGCGGCGACACACGTACCTACGCATCATTGATATATTTCTCTTTCTTTTTCGAAACGACAAAATAATAGTTTAACAAAGTACTTTGGTATTTACGTTCTCCTTCGCTTTCACGAATATATATATATATATATATATATATATATATATATATATATATATATATATACCTATACAAAACTGATCGTGGGACATATAAGTATACATTTTTTATTAATATGAATTTAACGTTGCATGTATGTAAGTTTAAATAAAGCTCAGATCAACGATGATAACGATGAATAATATATACGATGAATTATTTCAGTCCTTTTTGTATCGATATAACTTTTATACAAAAAATAACGAGCTATTTAATAAATAAAAAAGTTGGCATTATATCCGTCAAAACTCGCGCTCCTATTTCTGATGCGCCATTTACTATACCTTTAATCCTATTAATACATATATACGTAATTAACGATATATTAAATATCTACATATATGTTTATATTAATGTACAAGCATGTTCCTCCGTTTCGTGCGTGATTCGATGGCAAAACTTAAATATAAAATGTTATTTTCCTTTGCGAATAGCCTCTTTGATTAACCCCTATATTCGGATTATCGCACAATTGCGTACAAATCTGTGTGTGTGTGTGTGTGTGTGTATGCTTCGTCACGTTTATACAAATGAGTTTTTAATAAGATTGGTCAACTATCGTAACTCGCAATGAATCTGTATCGGTATAAAAGCTACGATTAGGCCCAAATAAGACAGCCTGCCATTTCGATTACTTTCTAAAACGTTTAGAAAGTGGTCAAATTATTTAACGAGCAGACGTTATTTGCTTTAATTAAACAACAAAATTTGTTTATTTTTCTTTTTTCTCTTTAAAACGTAAAAAAATATATCGACGCGATATCATTTAGTTCAAGTTTTATTCTTTTTATCTATCAATAGATCAGGGTAGCTAACAGCAGTTTCGTTCGATTTACTACCGGTTCTACCTTTATATCCTAAATGTCCTATAATTGATAATAATTAATCAATTATATATATTACCATTCTTGATACCGATTTATGTTACGGAATAGAAGTATACATATACATACGTACACACGTACATACATACATATATACATATATAATTCTCACTATCGCACAATTTTCTCCTTTCATATAAAACAATCTATGTGTATAAACTCTATTATAGTATCGGTACTTTGTACAATCCCGTTATTTATCCCCACTCCGTATTTCATACTAATACATTGTCCTTATGTTAATTACGTTATTTTCTTTTCTTACTTTGCATTCTTTCTTTTTCAATAGATAATGAAACAAACGAATGGGTTAGTCGCCCATGTGAATTTTTTGGCTTTCATTACAGGAAAAACTTATCAAATTAATTAATATAGGGAAGAATTGTTAATTCATTAATATCAAGTTGTGCACTCATTCTTACTAAGCCTTTTACCCTTCTTCTGTATTACAATATTTTCATAGAATTTATTTGTAAAATTAGGAGCTTCTAAAATGAAGCATTTTTTTCCATAAATTGTACTCTTATTTGAAGAAAAAATAAATAAAGTTATCAAATAAAAAGCATAATTCAATATATAAGTAATAGAATAGCGAATGCTCCATTCTAAATTTCGAAATAATATAAACCAAACGTAACGGCCAACACGTTAATGGTATTAATTAAAAGGAATGCCTTTTAGATGTAATTAACACTTTAAGAATATTTACAAGTTTAGAAAAATTGGTGCATTCAACTTTATCAATTTGATAAAATATAAAACATTCTTCAGTTATTAATATCATCGAAATTAAACATTTCCATTTGATTTCATATTGACAAATTTCGAAAACGATAACCAATTTGTAAAACATAAAAATATTTATATTAGCGTTCCTTCCTTGTGCTGTTTATATTACCATTTACGTTGCTCCGCGGCTTTCGAAAGTAGATAAACGATCGTAAAAAGTTGCAAATATCTTTCCCTCTACATACTAAATTATAAATGATTAATGACGGGGACTCATATTCGTTTGGTACGATCCCATCGACGGACGATTCGAAAAAACTAAAAAGTGGAAACCAAATTCTAGTTCTGTTTGAGTCACGTTGCATCAGTGCTTGATTATTGGCCAAGGTATGATAATATAAAAATAATCGGGAAGTTATATAAAACGCTACAAACACATCGATAGAATAATGTTCGTGGGCGGCCAATATAAAAAAGATACCAAACATATTAAGCATCCATGTAAAGGTGTGAAGGAAGTAGAGCTGTCTTGGGGTATCTGGAAAAGAAAAGAAAAGAAGAAGAAAGAAAAAAAAAAAAAAAAAAGAAAAAAAAAGAAAGAAGAAAGAAGAAAAAAAAAGAGAAAAAAAAAGGAAAAAGAAAAATTAAAAAAGAAAACGAATCCTTTTCTAAATCTCTCATTTCTTTTTCTCTTATTATAGGCAATTTCAAATTCGAATTCATACTCACATTCAGTGATAAAAAAATTCAGCATGGTCAATGTGACCGTATGGCCGCTAAACATGTAGTCGCCGCAAGTTCTAACACCTTGTATTGACATACCGGCACCACGCCAGATAACGTAAGCCATTGCGATCTTATTATATAATTCCACATATGCAGAACTGGATAAGGAACATTATTGAAATGGATTAATTAAGATCGTCTAGTTTGATCGTCTAGTTTATAATAACATTTCGTACCTAGTCCAACCTTCGTCTGGCATCTTACGCGGTTGACATTGCAAATGTGCGCCAGGTACAGAGAGAGATGTAATCAGCATTGTAACGCATCGCAATAAGAAGACTGTACCAAAGAGGGCGAAAAATCTTCGTAATAAGATAAATCTACGAAGGTGATAGAGAGGAAAAATTGATGAGAAATTGAATTGGATAAATATCGACAAAATGGACAATTTTTACGCCTTACGATCATTACCTATACTTATGGAAAATAAGAACAATGAGCCAAATGGCAAAAAGTATAGTGCCAGTAACTTCGCACATGTCGAATGCCCAGGGTATATGAGGAACGTTGTCCAAAAATATATCCGGCAAAGGTGGATACTTTTTCATATCTGGTACTCGATCGTGCACTATTACCATCACAAAGGCAGTAATCCAAGTAACAATAAATAAATATGCCAAACTAATAAAGGTTTTCCATATTTCAGGTGGCAAATGAGACGCGTGCCCATCTTCCGACACAGAAGCTGAATAAAATTCATTCTCTATGGAACCTTCGTTATTTGTACCAGCGCTGGGCATCTGTAATTAATTAAGTATAATATTTATAATATACGACAGTTCGTTAATAATAATTAATTTTTAAGTCTTAGATTAGAATTAAAGTAAACCTAGATTACTGACTTCGTGTTTGTTATGGCCGTAAAAGTGCGGCCCGGTGAACAAATCGACGCATCCCAACTCGAACAGCATCGCGACGTTGTCTCTTTGTAATTGTTTAATACTGATACACAATCTTTTTAAGTCTCCTATAGTTTTATTCGCCTGTATGGCTACGGATTTTAAATCTTCCTCTTTTAATGTTAGGAGTACCTTTCCATCTATGTCGTGCTTCTTAAATAAAGACGAAAAACTTAAGTGTCCATTTTCTGCAAGCCAAACACCAACGTCGTTGGTTGTCCAATCAACCACCACATTCTTCGTAGGCATCGTTTATCACATCGAATGTCCTTTAAAAGTTTCTTTTCTCTAAGGAGAGGAGAATATTGCGTTATTTGATATTATCGCGAAAAGGGTTGCGTATTAAAGAGTAATTATATGCATCGCGCATTCATTTACATGGTGGTCCAATAAAGAAAAACTACTACCTGAAACGATAGATTGATCTATCTACACTTATAATATTGAACTTTGAATTACGGATCATAAATAAGGAATTCGATACGCATGTATCAATGTAGTTATATACTTGTGCATTAACCAGATAATTCTCTGTACGTACACGTTGCCTGTACAAAATACTCAATTCACAGAATTAAGAACTAACCTATTTTGTGGAACGATCACTCACCATGTAACTGTTGCCTTGGAACTTCTCAGTCTCGTTATCACAATGTTTTCGTGTATGCCTTAACGTACATATTGTCAGAAGTGTTCATACGGTGACATTTTATTTGTAAACAATTTATACAAAGGAATACCATCGATTCGAATGTAATCGAGTGCTCCGAATTCGATTTGAAGATTCATTTATCGTATCTTCGTATCTTAACGAATACATAGTGGGGACATGTTTTATCATAACCTATTTCTATCTCTACACGCTCATAAATTACGAATATAATAATTTAAACGTATATTCCTATAGTATATTCCTAGGTAAAGCGATGCTCTTGGTCGACATGAATCAACATAACTCGTTAAAAGGACATATTTAGTACTTAATATTGGAACAAAATTTTAT